AACAGGCCAAAAATTAAATCTTAAGTACATAGTTTCTCTGCTATTCATCGAGTTTTCAGTGAGTAGCGATTCGGAAGTAGTTTGTCACTCTTTCTTCCTAGTCTGTCTTTGTTTGGAAGCTCATCTGAAACCTGTCCACCATGGGTGACCCTGCTGGTTATTTAAAACACCGGTGGCATAGCCCTCAGAATCACAGCAACTCAAATCACCACAGCATGACAGACAGATGAGTAGTGGACGTTTGGTTTTATGTCTATACTGTCTCTTTAAATTTCGATGTCAATCTTGATACAATCCTGATATAATCAAGATATATATAAGATATAATCAAGATACAATCAAGATGTTCTCTCCTAATCCTATCAATCCTGGTACAATCAAGATAAGCTTTCCCAAGATGGCGGCTCCTGGAACAGCTGAGTGTCTTCATCCAGAAAATAATGAATTTCTGGATTCTCCTGCAAATTCCCCAGCTACAAACCCTCCGAAACTCCAAACATACCTTTATATTTGTTACAGAGTTCCAACACCAACTCATGAGTCCTCTTGACCCGGTATTCCGTGTTGTTGTTGACCGAGCTCCTCACTACACATCTACCCGATCCACCATCTAATGAGGCAGTGTAGTGGTTAAAAACCTGGCTGCGAACCCCACAGTCAGCAGCTCAAATCCACCAGGCCTTCCACGTAAGAGAGATGAGGCTTTCCGCTCCTTGCAGTTAAACAGCCTTGGAGTCTGGTGCATTAATCCACAGCACTACACCAGGACTCCGAATCTTGTTGCTCCAAGATCTCGCTGCCGCCGCTCCAAGATCTCACTGAAAGTGCCATGGACTGCCAAAAGAACCAATAGATTTGTTTTGGAAGACGTGCAGCCAGAGTGCTCCTTGGAGGCCAGGATGGCTAAGCTTCGTCTCTCATACTTTGGACATATTCTCCAGAGGAAACAATCGTTGGAGAGGGATGTCATGCTGGGTAAGATGGAGGGTCAGAGAAAAAGAGGAAGACCTCTAATGAGATGGACTGGCCAGGTGGCATCATTGATGGACTCAAGTGTGGCAGAAGTAGTGAGGTTGGCCCAGGATCGGACATTGTTTGGTTCTGCTGTGCATGGGGTCGCTATGAGTCGGTTCTGACTTGATGGCACCTGACAACAACAACAACTACATAGTTTATGAGGAGCGGCTGGTGTGTTTGAACCGCTGATCTTGAAGTTATCAATTCAGTGCTTACCTTACAGCACCACATGAGAACCCTACCCTAAACGCTGTTGTTGTTAAGTGCTGTTGAATTGGTTCTGACCCACAGTAATCCTATAAAGGGCTTCCAAAGAACGCCTGGTGAGCTTGAATCATCAACTCTGTGGTTCAAACTGACTTTGCAGTCCAGTGTATTAAATCACAGTGCCACACCAGGACTTCATCCTAAACATTAGTGAGCTGAAATGGATTGCTATTGGCCATTTTGAATCAATCATATGGTTTACTATGCAAGAAACAACACCATTCAAGAGGAATGGTGTCACACTCACTGTTAAAAAGCATATTTCATGATACATCTTGAAGTACAATACCATCTGTGATAGGACAATATCCATATGCCTTAAAAGGAAACCAGTTAATACCAATATTATTCAAATTTACACACCAACCACTAAAGTGTTGATGAAATTGAAGAATTCTAATAATTTCTCTGTCTGAAATTGATCAATTATGCAATCAAGACGTATTGAAACTGGAAGGGTGGAAACAGAGGAAGAGTCAATAGTTGGAAAATGTGGTCTTGGTGACAGAAATGATGCTGGAGATTGCATGACAGAATTTCACAAGAGCAATGACTTACTCACTGTAAACACCTTTTTTCAACAACATAAAAGGCAACTATACATATGGACCTCATCAGATGTAATACACAAGACTCAAACTGACTACACCTTTGGGAAGAGATGAGAAAAAGCTGAATATCATCAGCCTAAACAAGGCCAGGGACTCTCTGTGGAACATCAATTTTTCATATTTTTCAGGCTAAAGCTGAAGTAAATAAAACTACTCCACCAGAGCCAAAATATGAAACTGAATATTTTCCAACTGAATTTAAAGATCATCTAAAGAAATGATTTGATCCTACTGACTGAAGACCAGAAGAATTGTGGGATGACATCAATAACTTCATACATGAAGAAAACAAAAGTTCACTGAAAAGGCACAAAAGAAAAAGACTAAAATGGATGTCAGAAGAGACCCTGAAACTTGCTGTTGAGTGTAGAGGAGCTAAAGGGAATGGAAGATATGAGGACATAAAAGAGTTGAGAAGACAAAATCAAATATGATAACAAAATGTGCAAAACCTGGAGTTAGAAACCAAAAGGGAAGAATATGCTCAGCATTTCTCAAACTGAAAGACCTGAAGATAAAAATTCAAACCTAGACTTGTAATATTGAAGGATTCTATGATTAACTGTTGAATGATTCAGAAAGCATGAAAAGAATATGAAGGAATGTTCAGTCACTCTACCAAAAATCAATGGGTGATGTCAACCATTTTAAGAGGTAGCATGCAATCAAGAGTCTATGGTACTGAAGGAAAAAGTCCAAGCTGCACTGAAGGCACTAGCAAAAAACCAGGCTCCAGGAATAAATGGAATACAAATTAAAATCTTTCAAAAAACAGATGCAAGATTGTACGTGCTTACTCATCTATGCCAAGAAATTTGAAAAACAGCTACCTGGCCAACCAACTGGAAGAGATCGGTATCTGTGCCCATTCCAAAGAGAGGTGACACAATGGAATGTGGAAATCACCTGACAATATCATTAATATCACATGCAAGTATATTTTTGAAGATAATTTAAAAAACAATTGCAACAGGACATCAACAAGAAAATGCCAGAAATTCAAGCTAGATTCATAAGAGGATGTGGAACTTGGGTTACTGACTTCAGCTGCATCTTGGCTGAAAGCAGAGAGAATAATCAGAAAAATGTTCGTATATTCAAAGACTATGTGGATTATGACAAACTATGGATAACATTGTGAAGAAGCGGTATTCCAGAACACTTAATTGTGCTCATAAGCAACCTGTACTCAGACCAAGATGCAATTGTTTGAATAGAACAAAGGGATCTTGAATGGTTTAAAATCAGGAAAGGTGGGTAGCAGGGTTGTATTCTTTCATCATACTTATTCACTCTGTATGCTGAGCAAATAATCTGAGAAACTTGGGTATATGAAGAAGAACATGACATCAGGATTGGAGGAAGACTCATTAACAATCCGCAATATGCAGATGATATACCCTTGATTGCTGGAAGTGAAGAGGACTTAAAATTCTGATGACTATCTAAGACTATACTTCAGTATGGATTGCACCTTCATGTAAAATACCTCACATCTGGACCAATAAATAGCATCATGGTAAATGCAGAAAAGATTGAAGTTGTCAAAGGCTTCATGTGCTTTGGATCCACTATCAACATTCATTCAACACTCAAGAAATCAAATGACATAATGCATTAGGCAAGTCTGCTGCATAAGACCTCTTTTTAAGTGTTCAACAATGAAGATTATCAGTTTGAGGACTAAGGTGTGCATAACCCAAGTCATAGTCTTTTCAATTCCCTCATATGCATGTAAAAGTTATGCATTTGAGTGATGGCATTGGAGAAGAGTATTAAAAGTACCATGGATTATCAGCAAAACAAACAAATCTGTGTTGGAAGAAGTACAGCCAGGTGCTTCTTAGAAACCAGGATGGCAAGACTTTGTCTCTCATACTTCAGACATATTATTAAAAGGGACCATTTCCTGGAGGACATAGTGCTAGGTAAAGTGGAGGGTCAGTGAAAATGAGATGGAATGGCACAGTCGCAGCACCAATGGGTTCAAACGTGACAACTGTGAGCATGGCACAGGACCAGGCAGTGTTTTGTTCTGTTGTGTATAGAGTCGCTATGGTGTTGGAACTGACTAGAGGGCAACAGGACTCGTGTTTGTGTGTACATTTGTATTTGTATGACATTCTTAGGAGATACAGCTGATTCTGGGACCACATTTTGATAACTACACCTTTAGTGTAATTTATATTTAATTGTTGCTGCAACATTCTTGTTTCCCCCTAAATATCTAGAACACTGTTGACAATTTTTGTCAAAACTTAAGCATTTTTAAGAATGTTAACTAAGCACATTTTTGAGGGTAATGGAAGGGTCATGTGCTGTTTATCATTATACAGATTCTGGTCTATTGAAATGTTTTGTAAATAGTAAGACTAAAAAATTCTGATGCATTGAATACTAATTAGAATATCAAATATTCACATTAAATATTATTAAGTCCTTATTTAATCAACTTTTCCAAGACACCATGACTAGGGCTAGGTGCACCTTAGTCCTCAAAGTGACATCTTTGATTTAATGAGATCTTTTGCATATATGCCCAATGCACTATGTCTCTTAATTTCTTGACTGCTGAGTCCAAGAGAATTGTGGATTGTGGATGCAAGTAAAATGAAATACTTCACAACTTCAACATTTTCTCCATTTACCCTGATGTTGTTTATTGGTTTAGTTGTGAGGACTTTTATTTTCTTTACATAAGTTGTAATCCATAAGGAAGGTAAATTAGCTATTTGACATACTGCCACTTATAGTGTAATAATTCTGTATACTGAGGGCATAGAGAAGAGAGGCCACCAAGGGATTTCATAGAGGAAAGGGGGGGTGCAGTAGAAGTGCTACAACACCAAGAATGCAAAACCATTTTATGCTGGAAGAAATGCAACTCCAAAGTTATAGCAACTTTTCACTTAGTCAAGCAAAATCATCAAAAGTGTTCTTGGGACAATCAAGAATAACCTTGTTGAGTTACGACTGGGAACTTGACGTCACTCCTCCCATCGGGGTTAATGCTGCCTCCAGCTGAACCGCCTGTAACTTTGCAGGGCCTGACTCAGGTCCATCAAATGGGCACTAACCTTTCTCCGGAGGCTTTTTCCCGCCAAGGCTCGAATTTCTGCCTCTAGGGGACTCGGGCACTAGCTGGACTGCGCATGTGCGGTGCTTGGTTTTGCTTCTAACTTCCCTGCGGCCCCACGGACGCCGAGGTTTGGCAGTGATGGAAACGAGCTTGTTGCGCCAGTTCCCGTTGCTTTTGCCTCAGAATCGGGAGAAAACCGTTTATGAGGGATTCATTTCGGCTCAGGTACTCTCCTGGCTCTTGTTCTATCAGGAGAGCCTACCTGTCGCAGTGCAGCTCTGCCTATGCGATTCTCTGATGGGAGGGCTCAGACTTGGGCACTTGGAGAATGAGGGCAGCGCCTAGCAGCTTTACCTAGATAGTAGAAGTTTGAGACACTGCTAGAAAGCCATCCTTCGTCGCCCTCTGCGCACTCGGGCCCCGGGGCGCCCGCGCTGGCGCGTAATGGCGTGAGGGGCGGGGCTTCTGATCACACCCACTCCTGCCTTCTCTTTTCTGTCTACTGTCTCTGCTTGTTAAGTGTCTGCCCCAAAGTTACTTTTTTTTTCAATTTTGGCCTCATTCTAACAGTGTCTTTCCTCTCCATTAATGTTGGTGGCATTTCACCGAGAATTTTGTGTTAAGTATATTCGCATTTCCTTAAAACATTTTAAAGGAAAACCCAGTTGCTGTATGTGCCTCAGCATATCCAGTTTAGATTTTTTCTGGAAATTTTCAAAACGGAATTGATTACCTTTGCTGAGTGGCTTGATCACCAAGTGACTTCTTATGTGAGCTTTTTTTTACACATGATAACTTAAGTGTACAGTATTGAACGGTACAAATTGTTTTCCAGGTGTATCTCATTTAATCCTCAGCCCTTTGAAACAATTGCTTTTAAAAATCATGATTCCTATTATTATACAGTAGTTGAGGAAATCAAGGCTTGGGATGGTGTAGAGGTTAAGTAACTTGGCCAAGATCGCAGGAGGATGTTTTAATCTCTAGCGAACTCAGCCCTGTACTTTTCCTACTACGTTTTCCCATAACACCGGGATAATTTAGGATTTTAATTATGTCCTTTTCTTCTCTGATTCAACACCATCCTCTTCCTACCACCACGCATAATCTTTGAGCATAGGGGCAATATTAAGTAATTGATATGTTTTGAAGCTTCCAGCAATCTTCATGATGTCTCAAAAATACTGAGTTAAGTATCAAATTTTCTTGCCAAATGAAAATTTTATCTTCCACTAAGAGAAAGTAAAGGAGCTCCGGTAGCACAGTGGTTACGAATTGGGCTGCGGGCCAAAAGTCAGCCGTTCAAAACTACCAGCTTTTCCGCGGGAGAAAGTTGAGGCTTTCTGCTCCCGTAAAGGTTTACAGCCTCGGAAACCCTATACAGGGTCGCTATGAATCGGAACCGACTCCACGGCACATAACAACACCAAGAGAGAGTAGGAGTCGTGGTGTGGCGCTGTGGGTTAATGTGCCAGACTGTAAAGTAGTTTGAACTGCAAGATAGGCAATTCAGGCTCATCAGCTGCTCCTCGGAAACCCTATACTGGGT